CGCTGTTCTGCACATCAGGAGCAGGGATAGTGCAGATACATACCGTCTACATGCTTATGAACAACAACAGCATGAGCTGATTTCAGGGGGGGCACCCATTGCTTCCTTGACGTGAGTGTCTGAGTGTAGAAGGTTCAATCCTCCACTGTTCACTCTCTCACACATGCCTACACACACATTCACAGACACACACACACACACACGGTGGGTGTTCACTCTGATAGAAGACAGTGGGATGTCATTAACACTGTGTGAGGGGCCTTTAATGTAATTAACAGAGAGGAGAGGAGAGAAGGGAGGTGGCAGTGGGGGTGGCACCCACGAGGTCGAGCAAATCAACTCGCACCCCTTCTGCAACAGTCGAACACACACAAGCCCACTTCCTCCCCGCTTTAAACCCCTGTTGAGAAAGCTGTAGTTTAATTAAAAATCCCCGTTCCGACAAACACTCAGAGGCGCTCACTGTACAGAAACACCACTTCAGTTTTCATGCACCGCAGTCAGAACATGTGGACTTGATTAGTATTAATCCTTATCTCAGAAATGGACAGCTTCTCAATTGTGATTTTTTTCCTCTGCTAGCTAATTTCATGAAGAGCATAATTACAGCATTTTCAATTTCGTCCCTCTGCAGAGTTATGAGGCTCGTGCTCTATCTCTGCACTGCAGCTGAGAGGGGCCAGGGTGTGTGCTTGTGGGTGTGTTGATTGCATTTTTTTTTGAGGGTGGGGGCTGAAGTAAGCAGGAGAATTAGTAGGTTGCAGAGGTGACTAATACACCAGATAATTTGATCCCACGTCAGAATTGGAAAAGCAGCTGAAATCATGACAACTGTGTAAACCTCATAAAACACAGCAACTCTTCTGCAAACAGGGCCGGTTTACTAACAGCAACAAGGGGAAATATTAAGTGAACGCAAACATTTCAGTGCCAGCGAAATGATTCCTCTTCCAGAATGTGCTCGGTAGCAGTATGAGATCCAGAAATCTGATTTACTTGCTGTCTATCTGGTGTTTGTTCCAACAGTAGGAGGATGAAAGGCATGTCGGCTCTGATTAGAGCCGCCGAGCTGGCACTGTTTGAGTAAACGTGTGTGTACTCATGCCTGTGCTTTGGTCATTCTCCAGTAGGGAAATCGGAGCTGCCCTAAGGCAGCAGTGGCCATGTTCCCATCCTTCTCAGTTCCTCCTTTCATCTATCTTTATATCTTTCTCTTCCTCGTCTTCCTCTCAGCAGTGTGACTGCTTCCTCGCCTGATATCTCCACTTTTACTCCTCGCTCAAATGCTCGGTAAACAGCTGCCGCGCATATCTCTGCACTCGTGAGCGAAAGCACCTTTTCGGCTTGTGTATATATTAAGATACAGGCAGCTCATCAAGAATGCTTTGTCAGCTTTGATAATAACTTGGGGCCCCAAGGCGTCAAGGCCCCTGATATTTTGTCACACTCCTCCAGCTCTGCAAACACGAGCCAATATTGCCGGTAAAGCAGCTCTGCCTTCAGTGATAATGAGCTCTCCGTCCTCTAAGATAGTGCAGAGTGGACCGGTGCCAGATTCCCTTGAGGTGTTTGAGCACTGGACGACTTCTGACACCAACAGGACAGCAGCTTAGGTCCAGAGTGCACTTTCTACTAACTAATAGACAACTCTTAATTCAGAGTTGATTAAATGAAAATGTAATGATGTCCAAGGGGAAACGCAGTAATCACAGCAGCAGAGAATGAGGTAGCAAAGAAGAGGGGGGCAAATCAGGCATAGTTGAGTAAGTTAGTTTCAAAGTTTTACAGTGTGTAAAGCATAAAAGCATATAGTGATTAAAAATGCTGCAGGCCTACTATATGGAGTGCTGAAGATCATAAAAGCAATTTATTATGCTAAACAGTGGTGATTAGCCAGAAAATAAACTAATAAAGAAACAGCACTGCACTCACACTATCCATTAGTTTGCATCCATTAGTTTTAAATGTCCCCCACCTCACCCCCCTTCAAGAAGACAGAGTTCCTTCTGATCGTAAATCTACCTCTTAAAAGTCTAATGTGACACTGAGATGCATATTTAGCTAACAGTTTAGCGCAGTAATTAGCGTTTGGGAGCGCTATGCCTCTGCCAAGTTCCATCCGCCCAACATCTGTTCCTCACCTGCCTCCGGGGGCCAGTGCTCTTCCACCTCGTCCCCTCTCCCCCATCCCGCTCCACCGCCCATCTTTGCCTCGCTGTAGGTGGCAAAACACTTATCAGGTCTGGAGTGAAGTGATAGATAGAAAGGAAAAGAATGGCAAAAAAATGACAGGTCTGTTGGCAGCTGGAACCACTCACAGTGTTCTTTTGAGACTTAAGAGGGAGCCCCCCACCCCACTCCACCCGCCCCCCCACACACACACCTCCTGCGGTCACCTTGACCCTTCTCCCTGCCTCTCCCCTTCAGCTACAATTAAATCACGATGGAGCACGTCAGGCCACCCAGCCTCGGCGGTGGGCGTGCGCACCATCAGCATATCTTCAGCATATTCGCCCTGATGGGAAGCTTCTGCACTTGCCTGTGTATTGGATTTATTTCTCGCTCCAGCAGTGATGGATTTTCCATTTTCCTGTTTTGTGTGGTGGTGGCGCACTGTCGAGAGAAGCCTCACGTCAACACTGTTGCATCTTCTGTCACTCGCCGTCTCACACCGTTTGCTCAGTGCCATTTTATGATTTTTCTCTTGCCGGCAAGCCGTGCTTCTCCATGACATGGGGGCCCATTTAAGTCTGATAAGTCATTGTTCAGACAATACAGAAAAGGGAAGGGGGGGGGGGTGTCCTTTACAGTAACCAAACAATGTTGACACCTCCCAACCCTTTCAATTCTCTTACTTTCTGCCCTCTTTTTTCCCTCCGTCTGCTCTTTCTTCATCTTTCTTCGCCTATAGCTTGTCTGCAGGCAAATTGTCATCTCAGAGCCCCTGCCCCTAACGGGAAGGGAGGGGGCGGGAGAGTTGGGTGTGGGCGGGGTGAGGTGGCGGGGATTATGACAGAAGCAGGATGAAGGGGGGCAGAAAATAAAGTTGCTCTTATCAGAATTTGCCAGGAGCAATGTGCACACAAAGCTGCTTGGGAATCCAATTTAGTCCTCGCTGTTAGTTTAAGTGATATCAGCGCAATTAGCCGTCACAGGTCAGAGTGTGAGACCAGCACGTTAAGTGATTTCCTGAAATCCCACCAGTGGAAGCACAAGAGGATGTCAGTTCTCGAAGTTAAGAAGAAAAAGAAAGCGTTCCGACCCCACAAATGGACCGCTTCTTTATACGCTCCTGCTAATAAATGTCAGCCTTCTCTCGCCTCTTTTGTTTTGCTCATGTCAGCTGCTCACTCTGGATTTAAATGGATTTTCTTGCTCTATATCTCGCTACAAGGGTGACCTAGAGCTGTTTTAGTTTTGCTTGAGCCCCTGTGTAACTCAATTGTGCTTAATGTTGCTTTTGGGTGCACTACTAAGAATGGCTCCATGTTGGGTGGAGAAACGGTGGGAATGTCCTTGGTGTTTCTCACAAGAGCAATTAGACACTAAGTACGAAGGGGCATTGGCGGGATTGCGAGTTTGATCTATTTATAAATGCTCCAGTGTGACTTTCTGATGCTTTTTGCTTTGCCTGTATGTTTCGTTGTGTACCTGTGAAGGAGCAATAGGAATAACCCAAGGTGACCAAGAAGTAAACGTTAGGGTTTGTTTTGTCCAGCTTTTATTCAGCCACAATACACTTTAGATCAAATAAAGTTTAAATTAAAGAATTTCTTTTAAGCGAGGTGTTAAACCTTACCATGGAATTAACTGTACTTCTTACACTTTAAATAACGTTCTCACATCATTTGAGCAACACTTACAATATTAAGAAAACGTAACAAAGCTACATCAGGAATATTGCTGTACAACACAAAGGGAACCTGTAAAACGCAGTCCTAAAGCACTTTCTGTCTTCTGTTTAAGGACAGGTATGTTACTTAACCCTCTGAGGTCTAAGTCATCTAGATACCACAAACTTCTTGTTGTTTCACAGCAAGTAGGTCTTGGGTTTGAATCTAGAGATGAAGAATCCAAATATAGAGTTGAAAATAACATAACGGGTTTAAACTTTGCTAAATTTCTAAATTAAGAGAGTGTAGAGTCTTACAAATGAGCCTGTGATTGTTAGTGTAGAGCATTTTAACTTTATTCATGAACTTTCTCAGGCAGGAGTGGGCTAGACCTTTTTTTATATAATTCCCAAATAAAAATCATGAGGTTTTAGTAATCTGCTTGCTTTACATTTTTATTATTTTTTCCAGTATGTCACCACGTATGTATTCTCTGCACTGGTATCTTTCTCAAGGATGATGCTGAGAGCATGTGTGAAACAGTTACAACTGTTATTTCTCCTCCACTGCAGATAGGGAGAAAGAGCAGCACAGAGCAGATATGAATATCGCAACAATATCTCTTACAGTGGCTGCTGGTGGAAATAAATAGCTCAGCAATATTCCCAGAAAGCATGTGTTTCTTCTGTGCAATACAATTAAGAGTTGGACCCACAGGAACATCCATAAATGTTAAATTAAGTCAGCATTTCTTTCCTACAATGTTAGAGTAATCTGATTGTGAAAATGAGTTAGTTGGCAGGTAGGTTGTTCCAAGCATCTTGGAGAACCTGCCACACACTGGCTTCATAATGTCAATATCAAGGCTCTGTGGGGGTCGGCCATCTGTAGCGGGGCTCCTTCTGAAGTTTAGGGTCATGTCACGCTGCAGACTGAATCTGGGACCAGTCAGGTGCTCTCTGATGGGTTTGCATGATGGATAAGAACATTTCAGGCATCTAGTAAAGGCAAACGTTTTTCTTGAACTTCCTCTCCCCAAAAAAGCTTTTTTGTTTGCTTAATTTACACACAGAATTTTGTCTAGCTGGTTTCTGTGTGACAGACACTGATTAAATCTGACCTCATCTTTCCTTTTCCTTCTCTCTTCTCTACCACCCTGCTCTCTAGGAGAGATCTGTGCATTCAACATACACGGGCTGGACGCACCGTTCGAGGCAGTGGTGCTGAACGGTACGTCCGGTGAGGGCCAGCTGAGGGCACGGGGCCTGGTGGACTGCGAGTTACAGAAGGAATACACCTTCATCATTCAAGCTCATGACTGCGGGTCGGGCCCTGGGGGCATCGAGGGCAAGAAGTCCCACAAGTGAGTAAAACAGACAATGGGGTTTGAATAAAGCAGGCTTTGCGAAGGTGGACAGAATGCACTGACACGAAAATACCACCAACTGCAAGGCCTAGACAATTAAATAAACAAAACCCGAGTTAATAATGCATGTCAAGTGCTTGGGCTACATTGTGTAAGGCTACAAAGTAGAAAAGAATAAATTATTCATGAAGACAATGTCTAAGCTCACATTATCAGCTATCCTAGAGGACGGTGGAGCTTTGGAAAGACTAACGAAGACAACTAGTCGGCTTTATATAACTGTGAATATATATATACAGTGGAACCCTGGCTTACGAAGACCCCATTTAACGAAAAAGTTATTAAGGCACATAATATTTCTGCCCGTGGTATGGCAAAATTCCCGCATAACAAAATAGATAAAATAGAAAAAAAAATTAAATTAAATTCCATAATGTTATATACATGTACACGTACGTATGTATGCATGCATACGTATGCTTTCTTCAACCTCCGCCACCTCCTCCTCCACCAAGAACTTAGTCTTCAGCCAATATTGCCTCACTCAAAAAGCAATGGAAAAAGGGGCTTCGACTTACGAAAATTTTGACTTACGAAAGACCCTCTGGAACGAATTAATTCCATAAGTCGGGGTGCCACTGTATTCTGTGACTAAATTTTATATATTATATATATATATTATATATGTATATATATATATATATGTATATTATATATGTATATATATATATATATATATATAAAAATAAAAAACACCCAGCACGCCCCTGCGGGCGGTTTATCCTTCAAGCTCGGGTCCTCTACCAGAGGCCTGGGAGCTTGAGGGTCCTGCGCAGTATCTTAGCTGTTCCCAGGACTGCGCTCTTCTGGACAGAGATCTCCGATGTTATTCCCGGGATCTGCTGGAGCCACTCGCCTAGCTTGGGAGTCACCGCACCTAGTGCTCCGATTACCACGGGGACCACCGTTACCTTCACCCTCCACATCCTCTCGAGCTCTTCTCTGAGCCCTTGGTATTTCTCCAGCTTCTCGTGTTCCTTCTTCCTGATATTGCTGTCATTCGAACCGCTACATCGATCACTACGGCCGTCTTCTTCTGTTTGTCTACCACCACTATGTCCGGTTGGTTAGCCACCACCATTTTGTCCGTCTGTATCTGGAAGTCCCACAGGATCTTAGCTCGGTCATTCTCCACCACCCTTGGGGGCATCTCCCATTTTGACCTCGGGACTTCCAGGTTATACTCGGCACAGATGTTCCTGTACACTATGCCGGCCACTTGGTTATGGCGTTCCATGTATGCCTTGCCTGCTAGCATCTTGCACCCTGCTGTTATGTGCTGGATTGTCTCTGGGGCATCTTTACACAGCCTGCACCTGGGGTCTTGCCTGGTGTGATAGACCCCAGCCTCTATGGATCTTGTACTCAGAGCTTGTTCTTGTGCTGCCATGATTAGTGCCTCTGTGCTGTCTTTCAGTCCAGCTTTGTCCAGCCACTGGTAGGATTTCTGGATATCAGCCACCTCCTCTATCTGCCGGTGGTACATACCGTGCAGGGGCCTGTCCTTCCATGATGGTTCCTCGTCTCCCTCCTCTTTCTTGGGTTTCTGCTGCCTGAGGTATTCACTGAGCACTAGGTCAGTTGGGGCCATCTTCCCAATGTATTCTTGGATGTTCCTTGTCTCATCCTGGACTGTGGTGCTGACACTCACCAGTCCCCGGCCCCCTTCCTTCCGCTTAGCGTACAGCCTCAGGGTGCTGGACTTGGGGTGAAACCCTCCATGCATGGTAAGGAGCTTTCTTGTCTTTATGTCAGTGGCTTCTATCTCCTCCTTTGGCCAGCCTATTACCCCAGCAGGGTACCTGATCACGGGCAGGGCGTACGTGTTGATGGCCCGGATCTTGTTCTTACCATTCAGCTGACTCCTCAGGACTTGCCTGACCCTCTGCAGGTACTTGGTGGTTGCAGCTTTTCTAGCGGCCTCTTCATGGTTCCCATTTGCCTGCGGGATCCCCAGGTACTTGTAACTGTCCTCTATGTCTGCAATGTTGCCTTCTGGTAGTTCAATCCCCTCAGTTCTGACTACCTTCCCTCTCTTTGTTACCATCCGACTACACTTCTCCAGTCCGAACGACATTCCAATGTCATTGCTGTATAGCCTGGTAGTGTGGATCAGTGAATCGATGTCTCGTTCACTCTTGGCATACAGCTTGATGTCATCCATGTACAGGAGGTGGCTGACAACTGCTCCGTTCCGTAGTCGGTATCCGTAGCCAGTCTTGTTAATGATCTCACTGAGGGGGTTCAGGCCTATGCAGAACAGCAGTGGGGACAGAGCATCTCCTTGGTAGATCCCGCACTTGATGGTGACTTGTGCTATGGGCTTGGAGTTGGCCTCTAGTGTTGTACGCCACATCCCCATTGAGTTCCTGATGAAGGCTCTTAGGGTCCCATTGATCTTGTACAATTCTAGGCATTCCAGTATCCAGCTGTGGGGCATTGAGTCATAGGCCTTCTTGTAATCAATCCAGGCAGTGCACAGGTTGGTCAGTCTGGTCTTGCAGTCTCGGCTGACTGTTCTGTCTACCAGTAGCTGGTGTTTTGCGCCTCTGGTATTCTTGCCAATTCCTTTCTGTGTCCCACTCATGTATTGACCCATGTGCCTGTTCATCTTAGCCGATATGATGCCTGACAGGAGCTTCCATGTAGTACTGAGGCAGGTTATTGGTCGGTAGTTGGAGGGGACCGGTCCCTTCTTGGGGTCCTTGGGGATCAGGACCGTCCGACCTTCGGTTAGCCATTCCGGGTGTCTCTCGTTAACTAGCAGCTGGTTCATTTGTGCTGCCAGACGCTCGGTCATTCTCCATGTAACCCCGGCGGAAGGGGCTACATGGCTTACGGTGAATAGGAGACAACCTATGGATTCTTCGATATTATATATATATAATATATATATATATATTATATTATTATATATAATATATATATATATAATATATATATATATATTATATATGTTTTTATGTGTGACTGTGTGTGTGTGTGTGACAACTAAAATGTGCGTCCACATGTTTTGGATGGTCCAAAAATGAGACTATCGGCAGTAAGTTCCTACTTTATTCTCAAAATGCTAAGGAGCACCTCTGCAGCTTATGTCAGTAGCAGCTCTGCCCTTCAGCAAGATGGGTACAGCTCTGTACCTTCATGTCTTGAGGCCCATATACACAGAAAGACAGTTATTTACATATGTTTGGTTCTATTCAATCAAGTATTCTATTTTGTAAATTTACCAGATGGTTTAGGGGCATCAGCTTAGTAAATATGTTCTATGACTTGTGTCTTTTATGCATCAGTAAAGCAGCCCGCCCCCCTTCTTCAGTGGGGTGTTATTATTCATTGTAATTAGTAATGAAAAAAAAGAGAGCATCACAGACTATGTAGAAGACATCGAGTCTTTCAGTGAAAAGGTGCTAATGTAAAAGCTGATATACGCTTTTTAAATTGCACTTTAGATTGTGACCCAAACTGTGACCGCCTAAGCCTAATCAAATAGCCCATTTTTGTTGCATAAAAAAAGCCAATTAGTGCATGAAAGTAAACAGCCACTAAAAGACCAATTAAAAAGCTCTTTGGAACAAAAATAAAATCTAAAATATGGGACTCAAACTTGTGTGATCATTGAAGTGAACAGCCCCAAAGCCTCGTTCTGTGAAGTTTTGTTTTGTTTTACCCACACTACAGCACCAGATTCAGACCTGAAAATGATTTTTTTTACAGAATGAGTCAAGTAAGCAAAATACTTCAATGATGCCAATGCAGCTATCACTACAAGAGCATTATATAGTTATATTTATGAGGCCACTGTCATTGCTAATCATCAAAAGTCCATGGGTTGTATATCAGTTATAGAATTAAAGAAAAAGTACCTTGAGAAAATAAAATGATACTGTCTCGGGATTCATTATTTTAAAATGTATTGTGCTACATATTTTTTTTTGGGGTGGGGGGGGCATCACAATGATGATGTCGATGTCTCAAAAACTCAAGTTCATGAATGAGATTGATAGACTTGGTGTTAAGGGAATACATTTGATGTTAGATTCTGTCTCTCTGCTTCTTCATCATGTACTCAGCCTGATCATCCTCACCGTATGTTCCTTTTTAACACCAGTTTATGTGTGTGTGGTAAACAGTGCGTGGAGTTGTGTTTGTGCAGCTTGTTTAAACTATGAAAATATATATTTAAAAAAAACAAAGCTGCACCAAATCTACAAAAGAACCTGCTTGTTTTTCTTGACTGTGACCTGATTCCTCATGATAGACGATTGTTTGCATCTTCACCACTGAGTGCATCCCTCTTTACACATCTGATTGATGCTCGGTGCTTGCGTCATTTTTAGGAGGCTATTAACTGCAAAGAAGGTGGCGTCGCCTGCAGTCTCCCTCTCAGACTGCCTACAGCGCCAACAACCTCCAGCTAGAAGTCAGGGCAAGACTGTATGCAGTCTGAGGCAAAGCACAGAGGGAAAAGTGCTCAAATAACATACTTATTAAATTTGTTTTTCTGAGCACAAAATAGGCATCAAATATAACTTTTTAAATCAAATTTTCTTTTCAAGTGTCGTTCTACTTGGAGCAAAATGACGTTTCCTGCCAGCACAACAGTGCAGGTTATAAGAGAAAAAAATACAGTCAAAATTAAAGGGGATAAGTAAACCAAATTAGAGCAGACAAGGGAAAAAGCAAAGTGTGGAAATATATGGAGTTCAGAGACATTTGAAATGTCAAGAAAAATGGGGCAAAAATAAGAACTCAGAAAAATTAAATTAGGTAAAAACTTACAAGTAGATATCTAGTCCACTTAAAACTAACTCCCTAGACATGGTGTTTATATTCATTACAGAAAATAAATAACCTTTATGTGGGACTCATTGATTATAATTCTGGCTTTAGACTGCTCTGCTAGAGATTTGTAACATAATATTAAGTGAAGCTGA